TCCTATTATCCAGTCGCAACCCTCTTCTTCTCGGCCATTTTTGTGGCCATTCTTTGCTGTGGTCTAACAATGTTTACAGTGACTACCAATCCAGTTGACCTATGGAGTGATCCTGGGTCACGCGGACGTTTTGAAAAGAACTACTTCGATACTCACTTTGGGTGGGTGTTTGTGACTTCTAGAACCATTCATACTTTGTGCATGTCCATGTAATCGTTTAGTCGGTTGCTCACTTTTTCATCCTCCCGTCATTTTGGAAGAGCAGGAATGCTGAGTTCGGTAAAGCCTCTAATTAAACGGTTATGACTCTCGACTGCAGGCTACCGGAGGCTTTTTCGATAGCCATTATGAGGAGTTTATTTCACTTTAATCATCCGGTCCATGACTGCTTCTTTTTTTTTCAGACCCTTCCACCGTGTGGAACAGCTGGTTTTGCGACCTGTGGATCGCACGCCAGTAAAAAATGGCTCAATCGGGCCGGCGTTTCGAAAGGACTTTTTAGATTTGGTTAGTTTCGCTTTGCCTCTCTCCTCATTAATTTCTACTGATCAACGTTATTTTTTTTGTGTCCAAACGCCCACCTGCCTGGACTTTTTGGTTGCAGTGGGAGATTGGTCCTCCTTGTCAGGTTGTTTCAGTCACTCAATCAGCTGTCCACCTGTTTTTTTCCCTAATCAGATGCATTCATTCGTCCCTTGTCCACTCGTTTGTGTGTTTCCCTCCGTCCGCCCATTTTGAATCCATTCACTCTTCGCCATGGGAATGGCTGTTTCCACAGGGCTACAATCTCGAAAGCTCTTGTTTCCATCTGCCGTGATCATCACACCGTGTCATGCCTTAAACACGAGCTGTTGCAGCTCTACTGTCACGACATGTTGTTCCATGCAACCTTGTTAAGAGGCGTTTGATGCCGCAACGGGTGGCAAGACACACCTGGTGCGGGCTTGTTGCTGTTATTGTTACACTGGCAGTCTTTCACTTTTTTTAAAGGCAAGACTCGACTTGAAAGTCCTTTTTTGTCAATTTTACCGGTGTTACGGTATCTTGAACAGGTTCTCGACCTCCAACTGCGAATAACTAACATCACCGTCTACGGAGAGGTCTTGAAGGCCAACATCAGTCTTGACGACATCTGCTTCAAACCCATGCGGCCTGATAAGGAGGATTGTGCAATAACCAGCCCCCTTGAGTACTTCCAGCACAATGTTACTCAATTTAACAACTCTGTGAGTCCTTATCCTCACTGCCTTTGGTGTGTGCATAGACCGTGGGAAGGTGCACTTTTTTCTCATGCGCTTTCGGCTTTCCCTTCACACAATCAAGCACAATTTGTATCCTTCAGGACTACCTCGAGCATTTGTTGAACTGTGCCAAGAACGTTTTTACGCCCAAGTGTCTTGGTTCCTCCGGCATTCCACAGATGCCCAACGTAGTCTTTGGTGGATTTGCAGGTAAATCTCGCCCTCTTGCCTATCACAATGATGACTTCTCGATGGTAATTTGCGGCAAATCTTACAGACGGCAATTATAGTCTGGCAGAAGCAGCAGTCATAACAATTCTTGTGCGAAATGATGTTGATCTCAAATCGGATCATATTCAAAGCTGTTTGGTTTGGGAGGCTGCTTTCATCTCCACTGTACGTGAGTGGAAAGACGCACACTCCAAAGAAGTGATTGTCAGCTTTTCTGCTGAGGTAATGTGTTTGGTTTGCCGGTGTTTCACACTGCCTATCCTGGACTGTGCCGACGGTTCATCATTTTAGCGATCGGTGGAGGATGAAATTGAGCGTCAGTCAAATGCAGATGTCTGGACAATTCTAATAAGCTATGTGGTGATGTTTGTCTACGTCAGTCTCTTCTTGGGCTCCTACACCTCCTGTCGGAACATTCCAGTAAGTTTTTATGAATTGAAAATTTGGTGTTGGCGCTCTGTGACTCGATTTATTCACATAAACACCTAAGTTTAGCTGTCATTGTTTACATTCTCTTCGTGGGGTCCTTCATATGACGTCGACTGCTTCCACCTTCATGAATTTATGATTGCGCGTAGAGTTTGCCTGATGGCTGATTCATTGCTGACCTGATTGGTTGCTGGGGCTTTCATCATCCTTTCACTCTTACGAAATTAGTTATTCACTTGATAGGCAACTTAAAGGTAAACGCCACTACCAATTTTTTTTCCTTAGTTTGCTTTTTTTGATCCCTTGATCACTCTGCTCTTTGTAGGTTGACTTGAAGGTGACCCTCGGTCTAGGTGGAGTGCTGATTGTCCTCGCCTCTGTTGCCGCTTCAGTTGGCTTTTGGAGCTACTTGGGTGTGCCTGCCACCCTAATCATAATTGAGGTCATTCCCTTTCTCGTGTTGGCTGTTGGAGTGGACAACATCTTTATTCTTGTCCAGGACTATCAAATGGCTGAATCACGGGGCAAATTGTCGGCTCCGCTGCACAACAACCAATCGGATGGCGATACCACGGAAACCAACAATCGACTGTTTGAAGTTGTCCATGGAAGTGGATTTGATCTGCATGCTGAAGTTCAAGGACGTGTCGCGCGGACTTTAGGTCGTGTTGGTCCCTCAATGCTGCTCACCAGCTCTGCTGAATCCGTAGCATTCTTTTGTGGTGCGTTAGTCTACTTTAACCCTATATAAGTAGCAATGCTGGGTTAAATTGATTTTTCGCACGTCGTGATTTTCTCTCTCCCTCCCCCTCTCCTCACTTTATTTTCGACAATATTGATACTTTAGGTTCAATGACTTCAATGCCAGCAGTACGAGTGTTTGCACTTTATGCTGGAGTGTCGCTGGTCATCAATTTTCTTCTACAAATTTTCGCTTTCACGGCTCTACTCACCTTGGATGCTCGTCGTGAGGCGGTTGGTTACACATTAATTTAGTTAAACTCACCTCCTCTTTCTTGCTTTTTTACAAGTTTTTTTTTTCATCTTGCAATGCGGAACTGTGCTGCCCTTGCAGGCGCGCAAATGGGACGTGCTGTGCTGCATCAAGAATCAGCCTGGAGACTCGGTCACTCACCCGTCCCAGCCCCCCACCGCAACTGCCGAAACCGCAGATGCACGTGAGAAATGGCACGCTAATTGTTTGTTGTCGGGTGGGTTCCAACACCTGTATTTCCATTTCTTTTATCCTTTAGCACCAAATACTACCGAGCAACAACCGGCAACCTCGTCCCAGCCAAACAATGGTAATAGCTTTCCATTTTGCATCGCCAACAGGCAACAACTTACAGATTATTCATCCATTCAGATGTTGCTGTTGCACCAAAGGGTACTTGGTTGTATCAAGCGGTTTCCCGCGGTCTTTCACCCTTCATTCTCTCGCAATGGGTTCGCCCTTTTCTCGTCGTCATTCTCCTTGTGTGGATTTGTCTCTGCGTAGCTCTGGTAACCACACGTCTTGAGGTGGGATTGGACCAGCGTCTCTCCATGCCCCTGGGATCTTACGTTTTGGACTACTTCGACGCCATCTCCCAATACCTAGCTGTGGGTCCGCCTGTCTACTTTGTTGTGACGGCCGGTCACAACTACACTGTGTGGAAGGATGGACAACGATCAGTCTGCAGTTTTGCCGGATGCTCTGAATCCTCTCTACCCAACGTCATCAGTGCCTACGCAAAATTGGCCAATTTGTAAGTCGAAAACCCTTCACTATTATTCGTAACCCTTTAGATCGCATATCGCTTCACCGTCCATGGTGTGGATTGACCAATACGCCAATTGGCTGCAAGCAACTGATCCCTCCGTTCACTGTTGCCGTGTGCTAAGGACCAATCCAAATGTCTACTGCAATGCCACTGACTCCACTTCCGATTGTGTGCCCTGTCTACCCCCAGACTCCAGCCTACCCGAGGGTCACACTTTCAATCGCTTCATCCTGCGCTTCCTCGAACAAAATCCGGACGTCAACTGTCCTCTTGGGTGCGTGCCAGACTTGGTCCGCTCAAAGTGTGCCCTTTTGAAGTTCTGCAAACTTTGGTGTTTGTGGGTTTCAGGGGAAAAGCGGCATTCGGTACAGCAGTGGAACTGGTTAAAAGAGGCACTGACACTACCAACGTGTCGGTTGAAGCAACACACTTTATGACCTATCATACGGTGCTTCGTGAACCACAGGACTACATTGAGGCGTTGAGACTATCGCGACACGTTTCTGATCAAACGCTGCTCTACTGGAACAATCACAGTGCCAACACTTTTGCTGGCAACAATGCAATCTTCCCCTACAGGTACTTGAGCGAGTTTCTTCTTACCCGTTACTGTCTCACGACGGACGGGCTTTTACTCCTTTGTGCGTGCTTTCAAGCCATCCCCATCTGGACCTTCGCTCTATCCGATTCCTTCCTTTCTCCTAGCCGTTGCTAATGCACAATCCTAGCTTAGGCTGTTTAAGAGCCTTTTTCACCTTATCTTTTCTTGTTGTTTTAGCGTTTTCTACGTCTTTTACGAGCAATACCTGAACATTCAACACGAGACAGCACTGCAGCTCGGTGTTTGTCTAGCCGCCATAACGGTCATCACCTTGCTGCTGTTGGGTCTCAACCTTGCTGCAACCCTGATTGTCCTTCTTGGAGTGGCATGCATAGATGTTAGTCTGCTCGGCCTCATGTGTCTTTGGAGCATCAGTTTGAATGCAATCTCCCTTGTCAACCTTGTTGTGGTAGGTTTGCTTGAACCCTCAACAGCCCTCTTAATAGGATTTTGAAGGTGATGAGGTTGAACCACCTTTCTTTCTTCTTCTCAGTGCACTGGAATAGCCGTGGAATTTTGCTCGCACATCGTTCGGGCCTATGCTGTGAGTGGTTGCAAGACGCGCCTTCAACGAGCCCACGAAGCTCTCTCCGAAATGGGCAGCTCGGTGCTGCGTGGTATTACGCTAACCAAGTTGGGTGGTATTGTGGTGTTGGCTTTCTCCAACTCCAGACTCTTCCAAGTGTTCTACTTTCGTATGTACCTTGGAATGATTGTTTTTGGTGCTCTTGTGGGACTAATCTTTCTGCCTGTACTTCTCAGCTACATCGGTAAGTTGATTGATTGTTTGCGTGGTTGTATCAACTCCTTTGGAGACTTGCACGTCTAAAACCGTGCTGTTTTTTTGTGGGGGTGGGGGTGGCTTTCCAGGTCCTTCTTTGAATCCACTGGCAGTTGTCAGCACAAAAGAAGGAGTCGGCAATGAGGACGCAAGCGAGGCAAGAAGAGAAGAGGCGGAGGGTGGTGACAATGAGAACGAGGATTCCAATTTCCAGACCACAGGATGGGGAAGTAATCGACTGTAGATTATGCAGTTCTTTTTGTTTCCTCCTATTTGTTGATTTTCTTGTCATCTTGACGCGCACACAACATGAAGCCCACCGGTGGTAATGCTCTGCTATTTAGATCTGCCATTTTTATTATTTGTAATAATGATAATAACACATAATGTGCCATTGTTTTCATCTTCGTCTCTTGTGTGCGCTTCCAAGGCGATGTGAGCCCCTTGGGATGGGAGTGTTCTGATTGACATCAGTGGACGTCGGACTGTGAACTCTAAATGTTTACATTTTTTGTAGAACGCCGACAATTTGTGGATTTAATTACCACCAATGCGTTTATATTTCAATGCATTACGAGCATCGTTTCTGGTCTCTAAGGTGTGACTGCTGAATCGTGAGGAAATGCAATTTATTAACTCTACTAAACAGACAGATGAGGTGGTTATGCAATTGGGGAGAGGGATTTTGATTGAGTAAGCGAAAAGTTGTCCATGATAGTGGAGTTTTGTTTGCGTCATTTTGTCTACTCCAAGTCTGCTTTGTGGATTGCAATAAAAGCGACACACCTACTTCACCAAATCACATGAACAAATTTGCTGGTTTTCCACGAGGTCTGTGCGACTCTGGACTTTGCTATCGTGAGTGTTCACGACTTTGGCTGTCGACATGTGCACCTTGTTTTCTGCCTATTGTGTTTTCACACGTGGAATAGGGCTTTCCGGGATGATGCTAGGACAGCTTAGACAATCTACCAAAAGGCTTGCACAAAGCGGTAATTAGCTGTGCTTAACTTTTTTCATAGCACAGGCTGAAAGGCAAGAGGTAGGGCTGAATACTTGCCATTGGAGGGGAAGGAGATGTTGTGTAACACCTTCCTTGTGCAACTACCATCGATCACTTTGCTTATTCAGAGCAAACTGACTTTCTTCCTCTCCTCTCTGAACACCAGTAGTCAAGGTCACCAATTGTCCTCTCCTGCATGATGGGGAGTCACGAGATGTTGCAGGTTGGGCTTTGGCTTGACCCCAAGGCCAGGTCACACGGCCTGGAGCAGGATTAGGTCCAAAGGGAATCACCAGCCATACAGGTAACCCCTCCTTTGAGCTACGGCCTCGATGCTCTCCTCGGTTCACCTCCCACACCACACATTGCAATGCATTCAGTGCAGTAAGGAAATGCCAACGAGCCATCCGATCCAGTCATAAACTTCGATGGGGACCCTTGAATGAATTTGGCATTGCATTAGACCTGAGCAACAGAAATCAGAAGTGGTTACCACTGTTGACCATCAATTGTGTCCAGAGTCGGACATTGAAATACTGGTCAAAACCGTTTAATGGCGGCTTAAACAGGATTAAACACAATTCTACGTAGATGGGGCTTCAGTTTTGTGCCATCCGCGACATCTATGCGTGAATACAATAAGGAGAACTTTAAAATGAAATTTTTTAAATGTTTCATAACAGCAGCACCTCAGTTGTTAAGTGATGACCAGTGAAACAGGAATGCACAGACACCATTCTTAGCCCTTCCAGGGTGGGAAAGTTTGCATCGCACGAGTTCGCCACAGGCGTTGGAGGCTAGGATAAAAGTGGTAGCAAAGTAGGGTTTGCTTTTCGTTGTCACCATTGTGACGCACTAAGACTTCTCACAACGACATTAATTATGGAAATGCTTAAAATCCAAAGGGATGGGAAGGTAGTGAACTTTGTCCAGCCCACCCACCCAAGGATAGGATGTTTAACAAGGGGGCTGTTGGCCATAAGGCGGTGGGATATGTTCCTGCACTACTGAAATAACACTAATGCCTGTACCCATAAGGTGGTGTTAAATTCAGTATTTTAGGATGCGAATCTGTTGTAGAGCAGTGGTTTACGTCCAGTTGTACTATCAAGAGAATCCTCAGTCGTCAAAAGTCCAAGCAAAGTCCAAGGCCCAAATGAAGCTGCGGATAGGAGCTCGTGAATTTGGGAGAAAGTAGCTCTCGTCATTCACAGAGGGAGAGATTTCCAGTGCCGAGGGCTCGGGAATGCTTTGCCTGCATTGCGATAAATGGTGTGATGCTTTGTTTATGTGACCACCTGACGTTCGGCGCTCACTTTAGGAGTTGTCTGACCCTTGTACTTGTGGGCTGGCCTTCGGGCCATGTCCAGGCCCATTTGCTCTGCCCACATTGGGATAAATGGATCCAGCTGCACTTAATGCCTTCTTCCACTCTATGAAAAGCCTTAGGACGCTACAGCTGGTGCAGAGTAATTATCGAAGGAAGAGTGGGGCTGAGTAAAAACTTGTTTTTCGTCTGTCAGAGGAGCGTCGGTTAGTTGGGCGGCCACAATGCTCCTGTCAAGACCGCAGAACAGAAGCTTCTAAAGTACTACATACAAAACCTTGATCCTTTGACTATCTGCATTCGAGTCGTTGTCAGTACATAAAAAGAGTGCAAAAGCATCAGTGTCCTTGCCTTCGTCCAACTCCAGTCAGTCGTGTAATTCTCCGAGTTGCCCTAAAAGCCATTCGGAAAAGACAACTTCTTAAAGCCCCGAAGGCACCAAACTTTAGAATGCATTTAAGCCCTAATAGGCGCCTTGTTCCGTCTAGTGGAAAGTCTTGTAATACCAAAGTAAAATACGAGAAAATCTCGAAATTTTTACTTTAGCTCAAACAGATGTAGAAAGACATCAAAGTGGATTGGTTCACACAAGGGTAGTACTATTCACAGTGCCACATTATTACTTCTAAATGATGCATAATAACACAAAGATGAAGTTAAGCCTTATTTTTTAAGGGAATTCCATTAATTAAAATCTTGGAAGGACTTTCACGGGCCCACACACTTAGGATTCGGATCAAACAAATTCAAAAACTTAGCTATTTGTTTGCATTACTTCAAGGCGAAGCAATGAAAGTATTTACTTTGTTTGGTCGAGCGTTTCTAGGCCGTTGCAATTTACGTCGTAGGCTATGCTGTGTGCGCAACAATTCAAATGGAGGAGGTTAAGTCGGAGACATTCGAAGGACTACTAGACCAGGCCTTAGCGAACCCGGAGGTAAAAATTTACAAACCCCAAACCATTTCTATCCAAACGAATGCTAAAATCCGCAAAGCTTAAATCAGTCTATGACACAGTAAACATCAAACCTATAAACACTTGTTGGGAGGGATTTACTCCTCCGTTTTTGTTAGTGGAATTACTTAGGAGTCATGCGTGTCTTTTAATAGCAGCTTAAAGGCTACTAAGGTTTCATAAAAGTTTACAATTTTATTACTCATAGAGAATCTATTACGCCTATAAGAAGATTTTTCTTTTAGCCGGGTGCTGTCAACTTTAACATTCTACGCCAACTGATTTCAGGCATTTTGAAGAGCTTGAATTTATCAAATGCACTGCTAGCAGACGCTAGTACCCCGAACTTTCTCCTAAATTTTGACGAAATTCAAGTAAGGTCAAAACCTCATTAGCTATAACAGCTTTGACCTTTTTGTTTTCTTTACATTAACTTTGCACCCCCTTTACAGAACCGTCTTAGCAAGCTTGAAGAACTTATTAACAGCCTTACTGCACAATCCACCTCCAAGGAAATGGGACAGCAGAGTAGTCAACGCATCGACAGCATTGAGACGGATTTGCAAAAGGTGTGTCTGCGGTGAAAGTTGCCTGTCGCCTTCTTCTTTCTCTTCTTCTCATTTTTTTTGCCCTTAGACGTCAGCAATGGTCAGCGAGCTTGCGGCGCAAATCACCGCTCTCCAAGCAACCCAGTCCGACACCTCAACTGAGGCCGTCTCGAGTAGCAGCCTTCTTGCCAAAGTGCAAGAGATGGAAAAAAGCATTGAAAACCTCTCCGGTGTTGTGGTAAGAAAGCTCAGTTGTCCGCTTTTTTCTTGCTAAAAATCTTTCCCTTTCACTACCACTTTTATACTAAGTTTGCATTAAAAATGTGGATTTACGGCCTGCTTTTGCCTTGACCCTCAAATTATCCTCTTTTGCATGATTTTGTCGCGTTATCAAGGGTGCACAGAAGGAGGAGGGTCAAGTTGCGTCTCTCTTGTCAGAAAATGCACAAAACATCGCCGATCTGCAACAACGCATTGAACAAATGGAGGCACGTTTGTTTCTCCCTTGTTTTATGTCAGCAGTTACTTTGTTCAAAGGCTGGAGTTTTTTGCATGGAAGAAGAGGTGCTGTTTGTTTGTTTGCTTGTTAGATCCCTCAATGCCTTTTTTACTGTCGGAAGAAATTTGTCTTCACCTTTAACTCTCATTTACAAGCCTCGCTTTTACAAATCCGGTGTTTTAGAGTTCGCTTAACGTTTTAAGCAAAGCACTGCCGTCGTTGAATGACGCGGATGACCTCGCCGCATTAAATGAACGTGTAAAAGATCTCAACGAACTGGTCACTTCTCAGCTGCCAAGTCAGGCAAGTGTTGGTTTTCAACATTCAAGCCTCGTAACACACATATTTCACAAAAAGAGTTGTAATACACTTTTAGCAAAAAGAGAAAAACAATTTACGCCTACCTTGCAGGATGAAAAAGGTGACAAGCCCAAATCCAACCTCAAAGTTCACATTGAATCGTTGAAAATGGTGATTGGAGATGTGAAAGAGGAGTTGGACCGAATGGACGATGGGGTCAAGGTGGGCGCTTGGATTAAATTCACTTCTCCACTCCCTCATAGAGTATCAAATTGACACTTTGTTTTAAAGCTGTAACAGTTGGATAAGGTGGTTGAGTAGATAGTTTCAACAATCAAAAAGCCACCCTAAAGAGAGACTTCCTTTCTAATGTACAGGCATGATGATCAGTAAGGAGCAAACAAACCATTAGATTT